CATCATCAAAAAAAATTAAAAGACAATGCCACATGAAATTATTTAATTGCCACATCATACTTAACTGACGGAGGAACCAAAACTGTGCAATTTTTAGAGTTAAGGGATCAAAAAAATACAAAAAATTATTGAGAGATCAAAAATGTACATTTTGTAAAGTTGAGGGACTAAATTTAGCATTTAACCTTAAAAAAAACAAAAGATATTGGAACCTATTTTCAAGTTCCGACCCTGACCGATGCAAAGGGAAAGATAGTAGTAAGTTGGATTCTACATCCTATGATTAGGTTTTAACCCCTAGTCAATTACGCCCAAAAACAAAAACATTTAGGGTTTTATATCCCGATTTGAGGTTTCAATCCTTATTCGATAAGATTGTGCAAGAAGAAAGAAAAAAATAATAATTAATTCCCCATTATTACTATCCTAGTTACCAAATATTCTTATTTTATTTTCAATATAAATATGAGTTTTTTAAAATTAGGTTTATTATCTTGAAAGGTCATTCCTGGACTTATATTTTCTTCTTTTCTAGTGGTAAAGAATTATATTAGGGCACAGCTAAATTTTCAATAAGGTCAGAGATGATTTTAATTGAGAAATTTAACTTGTTATTTTATTTTAATTTTTTCATAAATTTTATTATTTAATTTTATTTTTAAGAGATTATTAATTATTTTTAGATTAAAAAACCCTAAACCTTATATTCATCAAATTTCATTTAAAATTAACCATACTTTTTTTATATGTAATTTGTTATAATATAATTAATTAGTAAATTTGTTTTACGAGTTGATCTTTTACTGCACTATAATCGATTAGATATATTACTGCTATAAGGATAAATCAATTTGTTTTTCATTAAAATTAATTTCTCTCATAATAAATATATTAGCTATTATTATTAGTTTTCAAAATTATATCTCTCGATTGTTTACTTGGAACGTGAAACTTGCAATTGAGTAATAAATAGAAATCAAAATTTATAATAGTTGAACAAATCAATTAAATGAACTATAAAGTCTTGTTCATTATAATAATGTTTTCGATCTTTTATAATTATCATTTTTTATATAAATATTTTTATTTTCAATTTTAAAATCATCTTTTAATTTAATTTCTCATTATAATAACTCATTTTGTTAGTTTGATATAGTTTTCCTATGGATTCAACATATAAAACTACGCTACAACAATCACTTAGTAAAAGAGTATTAATTTTGAAGTGAAAAATCAATAGTT